ATATGTAATTTTTTCTAACTCTAGTGACTTTCTGGACACCCTATATAATGAATGTTATTGAATACTTTGAAACATGTTGAGAAAATTCATTCTTATATAATATTTTTATGATTTTGTCGAATTGTTCATTAGTTTCGATATATATATATCTGAACTTAACGAATATAAAGTAATCATTTATTACTTGATAATAGATATATTTCATAGAATTCAAGAACTATATGGAAAATGAATAATATCTATGGATTAATGGTTGATATTAATTTCTCCGCGGAATTCATAAAGAGAAATTTACAACATATTTATTTTCTATGTTGCAGGATTTACTAGCTAATTTAAAATGTTTCTCATTAATATGTTATAATAGTACGCGAGGATATGACAATTTAATTCTACCACTTCTTCGTCGAATGTCATATGTTGAAGAATTAAGTTTATATATTCATATATTGGGTGGATCAACATTCATCTCTGGTATTCATCATAATAATAAAATTCTTAGTCATATGCCACGACTTCATACATTCTCATTTTATTTCGCTTCTGAAAATGCTGTTGCTGATTCAGCTATTCGTATATCTAATTCAGATATTGAAAAACTTTTACCTATATAGAACATCAATAGATCTCTTCTTTGATAGATTATGATAGTTGCAGGAAATTGATTTGTCGTGTCTTTTCACTTCCATTTAGATTTGATCGTCTGACAAATATCACAAATAATATTCCAAATATTGTATTCAATTCTGTTCCTCATTTGAAATTACGCGATAAATATCCATTCAAACACGAATTTTTCATTCGACTTGCTCGTGGTTTCCCATTTCTTAAAAGTTTATATATTAACACTATTCTAGCACCAAACTGGAAAGCCGACGAATATCATCTTAAACATATTGATTGGTGCTCAATTGTTGAATATCCTCACCTTATTTCACTTGACATCGATTCTGCAAATATTTATTATGCTGAACATTTTCTCAATGAAACAAAAACACATCTACCTTGTTTAACTGAATTAAAAGTTCGCTATGAAGATTTGGAAATGGTGACAAAAAATTTTACAAGAAATGAAACACGACGTAATTATACTAAAGTGAACCGATTAATTGTTAAAGATTTCATAGTTTATCCGAAAGATGTTTATCATTATTTTCCTTTATTGTGACTTTAATGTTGTTCTGTAGTTATCTGAATAAAAAAATCTGTGATGTAAATTAGAATTTTTTTTCTTACAACATCAATTAGCAAACGAAAAATGTTTGTTATTTATGAAGACAAAATCTGCTTCTGAAAGCTGTCGTCAACGCGATTATTCATTTTTTTCTGTATAAATAAGTGAGTACATTATAGAATCAGTGAGTGTGTGCATCTGATCGTGTATACGATAAGTCTTTAAACGGTAATCCCATTGTGATGAAATTTTGGACACTGAATTGTCTCATCAATATCCCGGTCGAGTTCGAAGATGAGAATAATTCGTCAAGAAATTGCTTAGTTATAGCAAACAATGTCATTATTTCCTGTGCTTTTCTAAGGGAACATTGGCCTATCTCGGTTTTCGTAAAAAACTTTTTCTCTCATAATCAAAACAAAACGTCAACTATTATATACCATTCGTTAGAGAATTTCACGGGCTACAAGATGGTATAAAACACAGTAAGAAACAAGAAGGGGAAATCATATATTACAAAGATACTTACTTCAGCTGAAAGGGATGTCTACCACTTTATGAATTGATGAACTGCAAAAACAGTACCCGCATATGTAGGCCTCGGCGACCTTTATTAAGTTAGATATTGAGACACTGGTCAGTTTAGACAAATAAGTCATTAAAGCCTTTCTTGACAGATTAGTAATTATAGCATGTCTAGACATCAAAATTATCCTAGCAAGCCTTTTTTCCTAAAATTCGTTTCCTATTTTAGATAGTTTGATCAAAACCAATCTGTCGCCAATTACTTTTAACTTTTTCAAGCACATATAACATTGAGATTTAAATCCGAGATTTTCACATTTCTACATCATTTAGCGATGATTGAGGTACTGTGGAAAACTATGCAACAATACTAAAAGTCTGGATTTTGTTGGTAATTAGTTTTGCTCTGGGTTTAAGTGGGTATTGACGTTTTTTAAAAAATGCGCGATCATACAAAATCAGATGCAAGAATCTTCACACACCTAGATGATACAGTATGAAAAAATTGTTTGTTGCTACGAACAATTTTACAAATGATGCAACATGACATAATTTTAGTCAATTGAAACAACTGATATTTTTAATGGATTACTTGTCTATTCTCAATATTATCATCTCTATTTTTCTTCTTTGATAAAACAAATTGAGTGGCTGCTAAGACTTTTATTTTGATTTTTTTGTCATACTGGGGGTGTGGGTTTGGGTCTGGATCTGGATCTTCTTTTCTTCCCTACCCACACCCTCTTGATATAAAGAGGAAAAATTTAGCATGATAATCTTTTTTTTTTGTTCTATCAGAGCATGTCTTTTTTCCTCTATGAATCTGTTTAAACAATGAGTTACTTCTTTTTTTTGTATGTTATTCTTAGAAAATTGATTAATTGAAACAAAAGGTTTAATTATTTTCATTTTCTTTTAGGTTGATCCAAGTAAACAACAAGATGAACATTGGCTATTTGGTGAAATTGGTAATTATAAACAAGTATTTTTTCCAGCAGTCTATGCAGAACGTATAACGTAAGTTTCGAGAGAAAAAAAAATCATTTCATCGTAGACTCAGTCAAATTATATTTTTAACAATCATGAATTTTTTTTAAAAATAAGAACAAAATGATGTTCACTTAAAGAGTGATAGAAAAGTTTAGAGTGGTTTCGTTTTCCAGGCCCTCGCCCTCTGAGGATATTGGAAATTTACTAGAGTTTTCAACAGAAAGCTGTAGTACTTCTTTACTTTTACATATAAGAGAATTTCGAATATTGAATATTTCAGAATAGAAGATACTAGAAAGGTTAAAACTTCCCCGATGAATTAATCTTATTAAAATTTTTGTATAAAATTCGAAATTGAAAGTCGATTTTTCATG